TTCTTCTCTGCCATCAGCAATACTACTATAACTCTAGTCCCTGATGACTTTCCCAGTGGTTTCACACAGATATTGTTAAATAAAATTGGAACAAAATAATTTCCGATAGGAAATTATAGGACAACTGCATGGTGTTGAACAGGCATTTTGAGCAACTTCTTCTGGGATCTGTTTGTCAGATGTAATCTCAACCATCATAGAGCAGTACCTGCACTGTCCATGCCCCCGAGCAGTCCAGAAAAATACCATGATAGATTGAAAGTTGCTAAGAGGAGCAAACCAGCAGAGGCACCTCCCTTTAGTTCCCAGCAAAGATAATCACGAAGAATAATGAAAGCACTTCCATTGCCTAAAATCATCTGAGCCAGATCCAGATAATCCCTTTCATCAGAAACTCTTGGAGCTAGATGTTCAAGAACTTTAGGCAAAAAAGGGTTTTTTAAGCTTGTGAAAATAAATAAGCCTTAAAAAAGGAATCCATCTGGATTCATTGGCCTCTGAGGACAAACATACTCATGGCCTCCCTTTGTACAGGAGGAACCCCAACTAGCCAACATTTTGTCAAATTACTATGACAGAAGAGGGACAATAACTTCCTTCATCTTCAGAGCATCATGCATGCCAGCAGTAAACCCCAGAACAAACATATGGATGGAATCAGATTTTAATTGGGACAGAGGCGTGGTTCTCATGCAGACTATGAAAGTCTGGATCCTGGGCCACAGAAGAAGGTATTGTCCATTGATATTCCCCAAGTCTAACAGGTGGAGGAATCTCATTGCAGCTGAGGCAGGAAAGTTTATGGGTAGCAAGACCCATAAATATTATCCCTTATTCTCTATCCTGATTCTCAACACTTAATAATAAGCAGAACTTCTGAGCATTGCTGGCATGGGCTTCTTAGTAGAAGGATAGATACTTAATAAACCACTGAGAATTCAACCTGCTCATTTCTGCTACAAGCCTGCTGAAGTGTTCCAAAATGTGGAAGACAATGTTTGAAATATCTAGCTATGTCCAATCAGGTCTTAGTAATACATGCCATGGCAGATGTTAGCTATCATCCTCCTGGATTATTATTATTTATTATTTATTTATCAGTCTGACATTTTAACAGCAACATGTTCAGTCCACAGGGGCTGGTAATATGATTCTAAATTCCTGTCTTTTAAGAAAAGCAGCAGTAATGAGGATTGACCATTATGGAGATGTCTTTTGCACCTGCAACTCCCCAGCATCTCCCTTCCTACCCATAATTCCTCCCCCTTCCCCTCTTTAAAGTTGAGGATACATATGCAATCTTTCCCTATATTTCCTTTTACCAAGCTAACTACCAATTACCAATAACTATAATTACCAATAACTATGTATTGATCAGCGGTAATTGATTTTCAGTGGCATCATCAGGGTTTGCTCTAGGGTAAAATATGCTGATTTAACTGATTAGATAGGGGTTCCTCAAAGTGGTCAGTATTGACCCCCAAGGGTCGATGGGACTATCCAAGGTCAATATTATTATTGTTGGTCGCACAGTCAGCCAGATGTTTAAATGGGATTTGGCATTTTTATCCACCTTCTCAAGGACCTAGGATAGGCAGATGTGTGATGGTGTTAAAGGTATTGTCACAAGATGTAAGCTGTTCCAAGTAAAGCTGCCTTTTGCAATTGACTGATGTTCTATCTGTTCTAGCTTGCTTGCATCTGATCCAAACATGCTGATCTTACTTTCCAACCTGATCTTCCATTTTGGTGGTACTTTGTTTGGCTTTTTTTCTTGTTTGTTGATTTTGCATCCAAGTTATTCAGTTATAACTGCAACTGTGCTGTACATTAGTTGGTTTGTTTCTTGCAGTGAGCTGGTGCTTATATTTGATATTACAGTATTGGCATCTTGGTGGTACTTTGTTTGGCTTTTTTTCTTGTTTGTTGATTTTGCATCCAAGTTATTCAGTTATAACTGCAACTGTGCTGTACATTAGTTGGTTTGTTTCTTGCAGTGAGCTGGTGCTTATATTTGATATTACAGTATTGGCATCTTTTAATACTTGTGCTAGCTGCTTCTTTGTAACAAGCTTCAATGCAGGAAACCTTATTCTGTTCTTTTTGTGCTGTTCTAGATGCTCAGTTATTCTTTGTTTCAATTCCTCTTGTTTTTTTAGTTAGAGGGCTTTGTTCTTCCTGTGGAGAAGGCAAAGGAGAGGGTGCCTGGTTTGGGAATGAAAATGATTCAATAGCTATGCTGGCTTCC